GACCTTTGTTCCACGAAATGTTGGCGTACGTTTAAAAAGCGACATCACTTTCGTAACGACCTTGTTTGTCTGTCTGCATGTGTGTACCAGTAGCTTGCCCCCCCCCCCCGAAAATAGATCGCGAAATTTTTGAAACTTACTTACATGGGTGCCACCCGGACCAATATCCTGGGACCGCCACTGGTGTGTACGTATTCTCCGAATAAAATATTCCATTTTTCGACCGATTTGGACCAAACTTGGCACACAACACTTCGGGCAGGGTGAGTGTCGTAATCTACTTTTCGTCCGATCGATATCGATTTTATCGTTTTTTTTTTGTAGAGTTTGAGCTACGGGGCTGGGAGTTGTCACAGGGGTTAATCGAGCATGCTGATAACTAGCACAGCGAGAATAGGGAAATGGCATGTAGAAGTGTGCGCAGAGAAAAGTGGTATAAATTTAGGGATGAGACCGTTATCATAGCGTTTTGATAGAAGCGGGCGGAGCCGTGTAAGCCATCCAAAGAAGAAGACAGGTTTGTAATCAGCATTCATCGCCAGATCGAATTCGTATCAGTCCCTTATAAGTTGCTAAAATCCCGCAGTAAAATGGGTTCATGAAGAGTGAAGATGTTGGGGTCATCTAAGCTGATGATCGTAACTTACTTCAGAATACCTGAATGTCAAAACGACTGGCGGATTGTCGACATTTCTATCTACTACTCAGTCTAATCAATAAACTAGGAAACTCATGTGAACTCATGTCTTTCGCTTACAAACCCCCTTTCAAAACCCCAATTTTTAATGAATATTTTTCCCAACAAAAAGTTCAGTGAGGCTCATCTGTGTGTTGGTCTTCAACATAGTTGCAATAGGGGGAGTGATGGATCTTACCCCCTTCACTTTGAGGCCAAACTCCCGATGACCCCCTTCACCTGGGCTGAGATTGGTATTGTACTCTGAGAATATGATAAAAACCGTTATTAAAAGGTTTTGCAGGCTAAGTACCTCAAACAACAAGTACACTCATAAATTTACAAAAGAAACGGTATTTATGTTTATTTATATTATTTATTTATCCTCGTAGCATTCATTTGGAGAGCAGAAAGTGAGGACAAAAAAGCAGTTGGTTTTTGGAGTACATAAAATCCCTCATATCTCGCGGCACAAAAGACCTAGAAAAAAGTCGACAGTCTACATCGATTCTCCATGACCTCAGCTTTCGAATGGTATACAGCATGTTAGGGCTTCTTTGCTTCCCGGCTCTAAAAATCATCTGCTCCGGTAACCGATAAAAGCCAATACATTGTATAGGTCGTCCAGAAAGTTTTTGCGCACGATTTTCAAAAATTCATAATTTCTGATTTTTCCAGCCGATTTGACTGTTTTCACTTTTATGTGAAAGGGTAAGTCATGCTCTTTGTAATGACATCTCAGCTGCTTAGTAATGGTTATCTATTGCATAGATAGGAGCGATAGAAGAAAAATGGTCAAAATTTGAATTTTCTTTGTAGGGTCATAAAAAATCGGAGACTTGCAACAGAAATCGGAGCAGTCACTATTGTAGGTTCTTTCACCAGCTCTTTCTAGGAATGCAAAGTTTGCGCTGATTGAGTGATCGCTGATTGACTTTATATGAAAAGTTATGATTTTCGAGCAAGCAATACGAAAGGGCGAATTTGGTTTATTTTGGCATTTTTCAGGGAAATCATAACTTTCCATAGAAACGCTCAATCGGCGCAAACTTTGATCACTTAGAAAGAGCTGGTGAAAGAACCTACAATACTGACTGCTCCGATTTTTGTTGCAAGTCTCCGATTTTTTATGACCCTACAAAGAAAATTCAAATTTTGACCATTTTTCTTCTATCGCTCCCATCTATGCAACAGATGACCATTAAGCAGCTGAGATCTCATTATAAAAAGCATGACTTACCCTTTCACATAAAAGTGAAAGCAGTCAAATCGGTGGGAAAAATCAGAAGTTATGAACTTTTGAAAATCGTGCGCAAAAACTTTCGGGAGGACCTAATAACAGCGAGGTGGAGCAAGTTAAGAGTAAAAAATGTGGATCGACATCGTTATCAGCATTAACGGGAACGTGAGCGAGCGCGTCTATTTAAGCGTGCTTATCGTTGTTATATGTTTATGTTTTTTTTGGTAAAAAATGCGCTTTTGATTGACAGTTATGCCATCATTATTAGCACACACTCAAAAAAACTATGGGAGATTGGTGAATTTCCACACCTTCACGCAAAAACCCGCCCATTTCTGGAATCTATACTCTGTAAACCTAGTGCTGAAGAAGGTCACTATCGTGAAAACGCTCTAGACTCATCTTACCTAATTTGTAGAGAATGGTTGGTTTCAATGAATCAAAAACTTTAAGACATTCAGAAGAACAACATGTTATTAAAATATCCTTCAATGTTTTGGAAAGGTTGGCAGTTTGAAGAGGAAACGGCAGGCAGAAGACCTTACAAAATCGCAGATGACTCGCATGTGTTCGAGTTCAACAGCGAGGCAGAAGGAGAATCTTACACCAACGATGTCGTCGACATTGGTACAGAGTTGACAACTGACAAAACTCTCTGATTTCCTACATAGGGAATCCAAGCAGATTGCCTAGTTTTAATGAGGAAATGTCCAGGAAGTGCATTGCTGATCTTCAGGTTGCTGAAGATTTCAAGGCTGCTAAATTCACGAACATGGATATGAACAAAAGGAAGGTGTTAGTACAAAGCATAGCTACTGCTCTTAGATCCCGACTGGAATGCGAACCCAACTCTGTGCTTTATGCTTTTGGAAGTTATTCGCCTTGTGACATTATGACCTATGATATTGAAAAAAAAACAACGCGCAGCATAGTATCTACTTTTTTCGGCTATTCCGCAGATGCTGTTAGAGAAGAAGTTGAGCAGCTTTCTCATCAGCTAACAGGACGTATGCCAGAGGAGATTAAGCCAGAGTTCGACAAGGCCCAAAAAAGTATGCACTATTTCCTTCCCGTGTTGCGAAAGCATATTCTGGCTTTTTTCCCATTACTTACCGCAAAAATCTGATAGACTTACTGGCAAAGCTAGTTTCCATTCCGACTAGCACGGCAGAGTTGGAGAAAAAAATTTTTCTATCTACTCTGTTATCAGAACACAACGCAGAAGTCGTACAACGATGGAGCATCTAAGCAATTACTTAAGGTTTCTCAACCTTCTACTAAACATATTGTTATCTAAAAACTTCATTCAAAGGATTGGTATAAGTGGTCCAGACAGGCTGTCACCGTATGACTTTTTGAAATATCCTAAAAGATGATGTGAAGAAACTGGTCACCTACCTGCTGACTTTCCTGCTGCTACCAGAGGGCCAGGAAAAAACACAAAAGCGCTTAGAAGAAGAAGAAAGTTTCAAATCCATTTTCGACTCAGAACGCTTTTGCACGCAATTCTACTTCTACTCCGATGACCTTTTGGAGGAAGAAGAAGATTTTTCAGGCAGCGAACTTGTTGTCTCTGACGTTAGCGATAGTGATATTGTTGATGATGATGTGCAGGAATTGAAGTTGTTCCTAACTTGTACATCTTTTGGGATAAACCTTATTGCTTTCGTTTTTCGTTGATGCAATGAAACAGGAGCACAGATCTTCATAAAGTCAATTTTTTTTTAATTTAATTTCTTTTAAAATTTTTTATTTTTTTTTTAAATTTGTGCCTAAATAAGGTACAAATTAGAGCTCTTCATATCACGCTTTTTTACCTTTTCTCTCTTCCTCCCCCCCCCCCTCCCCCTAGACTCACAACCCCCTTCACCCTGGAAGGTCGGGAACAGCCGAGACCCCCTTCACCTGGGGAGAGCCTGGCTCTCCCTATCGCATCTATGGTCCTCAACACGTTAGCAACGTGCGTATTCAGTTGTGTGCCTCTTAGGACGATGCCTTCCACGGATAAGTCGAAAAAATTTTTCAAGCTAAAATCATGCAGATTGTCAGCTAAGTATACCTACATTAATTCTATGAAGCAGTCGAAAAACACAAGAGCAGTTTTTAGGGTTAGAGCGTAAGAGAACTTCAACGAGTACTCCAAGATAGCAGACTTTTAACAAGATGGAAGGTAGATACATGTTACAAACAGGATAAGTGCTCAGACCTGTGTGCACACGATTTCAACCTGTCAAAACACAATCTTTATGCATAAATTTTTCACGCTTTGTTACTTAATCCCACTGCGCATATACACACCAAAATCCCGCGCGATTTCGTCACTTCTGCGTTGCAAACGAGCCATTTTTCCGTTTCTCTGGTTACGGGAAATTTTCAGAAAAAAGTCCACAACTTCAGTCACATAATTTATTATTAAAACTTTAAAACGTTTTAAAACTTCTCAGTCAAGCCCTTCAGGCCCGTGTACGCGATCGGAGAGAGGCTAGTGGAAACAAAGTATGAGAAATTATGAAAAAGTATGTAAACGGAACGAGTAATAAGCATTTTTCCGAAAATTTTGCAAAATTGAGAAATGAAGATGTGAATTCAATGGCTCGTTTGCAACGCGCAGATGACGATATGGTGTGAAACTTGGTACGTACATGCACACGGGCCTGCACGGCTTAACTGAGAAGTTTCAACGGAAAACTATGTGACTGAAGGTTGTGGCAAACTTTTTCCTGAAAATTTCCCGCTACCAGAGAAACGGAAAAATGGCTCGTTTGTAACGCAGACATGACAACCTGAGGTTGTCAAAACTTTCAATTCACATAATTTTTACTCTACACCCAAAGGTTAGTACATATTGAAATTTTGTTTCAAAGCTCCTCCCCTCCTCATTGCTAGAGCCAAAAATAACTTAAGCAGCCCCGTTTCCTAAAAAGGAAAGCTCGCTCAATCGATGATGGCGTATCGCTGGGTCCTTTAATCGGCGTTAACCACTACAGAGCGAATCCTATGTTCCTCAAAATGTATCTTGGAAATTCACATGCACTTTGACGAGTGTTTGGGTCCAAAATTGGTGTGGCAGCGGATGCAGCTGTAATGACGAGGACGGGAAGTCGGAAGCATGCAAATGCGTTTGATTCGGTCGTGAGTTTTGCCTTTACGGTTTTTTTGTCTAAAAATGGTTATGTTTTCCAGAATGACAGTAAGACATTATCCTCCTTGTCGAATCTGAGGTTATCGGACAATGATGACTCCACATCATCCGGAGATAGCAGCGACGTGGAGGATGGCGAAGTGATCAAAAGCGTTAACGATTTGGAGGAACGCGAAGGTAGGTTTATAAATTTGATGGAAATTTCTGTCTTCATTTCTTTGTTGCCGTATGTTTGGTTGTCGTCTTGGAAGTCACTGGTGTTTAGAGCAAGTCGTATTGGTCCAGTTTCAACTTTTATAGATTTAGGTTCAGGTGTGAAGACTTGTCGCTCGACCAAGATGTGGTCGAGGTTGATGAGCGAAGAGGTGTTTGTTTTACGTACTCTATAAGTAAACACAGTATTGTCTACTATTTAGGAAGTGACATTTGACTGCGCGAGCGCAAAAATCCCGGAATATTCAGTACCAACGAAAACGATCACGTAGCCGGATTACGTGATAATTTCAAGTTGTTGCTGAAGAATATACAGAAGATGAAAAAAGAAAGGCCAAAATTAGACCCTCGAGAGGATTTTGATCCACTCGTACTGGCGATGTAAGTGATTTCTTTCTACGTCGTTAATGCATTATTTATTAATTGTCAATGTCAACTACATAAGATCTCTTCGTTTTTGCAACACCTTTGGAAAACGCATAATTTTTGCTCTTTGAGGGTACCTAATTTTCGAAAAAATTTTGCCTAGTTTTTAATTCTGATCTTGATTACCTAACGAATGGGTCCCCCAGAAGCCTCCGTCATTGTTTTTGTTACAATAACTACAAAGATAGGGTAAGTCTAAGTCTATTTGAGTTCTATCAAGTTTGTACTAATGCTTGGACATCATGCTTCAGCAAAGGTTTTAGCAAAGGTGAAATAGAACTATTCAGTGGAAGTAAGGAAATATGCTTATCTGTTTACTTCCTACTTGTTGTAATCAGTTCGCGTTAGGCCGGCATTTTCGCGATTTCATCGCCTCGCGATTCTCCCAGCAAGACAACTGTTACGAGTCCGTTGCATGCCGATGCTCCTGCATTGCTGTGATAGTTTTCCGAAACGAATAATCGTGACTAACTATGACGACCGAAATACAAGGTGATCGACATGAAATGGCGTAACAGTTGTCTTTTCGTTAGATCGCGAGACGAAATCGCATGATTTATGCCCCAGGCCTTGGGCTTTTTATTACCCCTTATAGACAAGAGCAGCAGTTTGATATTCTTACTGCACGCTCATTGAGTACTGGACGTACAGGAACAAAATCGCGTGCAATAGTTAGTCAAGCTTGTCATGTTATGATGGTGGCATCACATGGATATGCACGGAAAATCTTGATTTTGTCAGCGCTTTTCTCACCTTTATAGAGTTGTGAGCGTACCTGCGATACTAAAAATTCATACGCGCTTTACTAAGAAAGAAATCAGATTTTTGCGCACTTGCATATTGGCGCAAATCATTCAATCATTCGGTATGCGTTTACAAAACAGTTCTGGAAACGAGAAATCATGTTAGTATAAGCGATTTTCTAAGAAACTACCCTAATTTTACGCGTATAAGCCGCATCTTTTTCGGTTTTTCAAACGTGCCGCTCAGCCGGCTCGTTGTGTTTCGGAAAACGAGACTTATGCCGCACAATACTCTCACGCAATATACAGCGCTGTTTATAGTTTTTTGTTCGCGAAGTCCTTCGGCGTGTCTGTGCTGTTCGATTTTGGAAAAAAATCCCCGGCTTATACGCGTGAAATTAGGGTAATAGCTGATTCAGCTGGTGACCGCTGTTCCATTGGCACATTTACAGAATATAACAGTTCACGACTTTCCAGTATCTAACGAATACGGTTGTGGTGCCCGATTGTGGCCACTACATGTGTGTGGAGTGCTGGAGTAAATAGTTTGAAGGAAAGCCGGAAGATGCACTTTTTTGTTTCAGAAGAAGTACGCTTTTTATTTGCTTCCAATTCTTTTGTTGCCTGCATTTGATAGCTAAATCTTTATGAAGTGTCCACACACCGCTGTTCATTTACAGTCAGCCGTCAGATCATTGCGCGATTGCTTGACAGTCCTTTCTAATATACCACTGTCGATTTGGAGATACAGAACGCGAATATGTCCTAGACCCCTGCAGGTGAGTGCCCCACCTTAATGCTTGGTGTTGAGATTATGTTGAATTGTAGCTGCGTAGTGCGCTGTGTGAATGAACATCAGGAAAACCTTTGAGATGTCCGCATGAGGCTTGTAACAAGCAGTTGAAGAAAAATGGGCGCTCTATGAGCACTAATTCATCTATGATGCAGTGGTCATCTTGTCTAAGGTTAGCTTCATTTTCTTATAATCTTGTTAGTTTCATTTATTTGGCTACATGGTTCTTGCGCAGTAGCTTGTTTTTATCGTGATGCTCCTATTCAGTTTCTTCTTTTCTTTTTTCGTGATATCGCTATAGTAGAACTGCAAATGGTTAAGCACAGCCCGCAGTTATTGAACTATAGTATCCGTCTTTCTTATCCTTGGTAATGCCGTTTTCTTCGATAATCTTATTCAATCTACTCATGAGGTTTTGGGTATACCTGGCATTTGTATCCACCTATTTTTTATCTTATATATAAAGCTGAATGTCTGTTTGTCTGTCTGTATGTATGTCTGTCTGTACGTATGTTCCGAATAGAAAATTCCATTTCTGAACCGATCAGGACCAAACTTGGCACATATACACTTCGGGCCCCGGCGGATGTCATAGGCTACTTTTCGTTATCTAGTTATCTATCGATATCGATTTTATCGATTTTTTGCAAAATTTGAGCTACGGGGCTGGGAGTTGGCTCCCCGTGGGGGTGATCAGCATGCTCGATTACACCCGCTCGATTACACCCCCTGCCAAATTTCAGCCCCCTAGCTCAATTTTGCAAAAAATCAATAAAATCGACATCCATCGATAACGAAAAGTGAACTGTGACACCCGCCGGGGCCCGAAGTGTATGTGTGCCAAGTTTGGTCCGGATCGGTTAAGAAATGGAATTTTCTAATCGGAACATACGGCGGAGCCGGGTAAGCCAGCTAGTATGTCTATAAGTTTTTTCTAAAATATTATATGCCGAAAAGGAAGAAGGTCACGCGCGCTGTTTTAGGTGATCAACGCTCGCTAGGTGAGAAAAGTTGCGATGATAAAGCAAATTCTAGCTGGGAACAGGTCTTCGAGCCGAGCGCATCTGCTCATGATCTGATTGCCACCGAGTAAACTTCAGTATGCTCCTAGGGGAAGGAATGGGTGCCTTGCGGCTTCGTAGAGATGTAATGTCTGTTCAGTAGATGCTGTCTAAACATTCTGCAATTAGGATCTTTGCGTATGTGATGTATGTGTATAAGCTTTTCATTCTTCGTGTTCTTTATTTATCATGAAAGGATCTAACAATAGTTCTAGTCTTTCTTGCTGCACCTTGCGTATCTCTAACCTACTGCAAGATTGCACTTTGATAAGCGAGAGGTTTTTACGTTTGTGTATGGTTAGACGTTTCGTGAAAATTTTCTTTATGCGTAAGGTTTTGAAGCATATCGTGCAAGTGCTGGGTGGGTGTTCTGCTCATATTTTCAAAGTGGTATCGATCCCGTGAAGTTATTATCTGTGTTTGGTCAAATGATGAACTCAGTTTTTTCTTCCGATTTGTTCTTATTTTCCTGCTTTTCTACTTCTACTGGTCGTTGTATGTGATAAGCCAATCATGTTTTAAATATTTTGACTTTAGTGGTGCGTCTTAGCGCAAGATATGTCTTGGCGTCTTGGCACAAAGCGCAAGCTAGTGATGAGAGAGTGAGTGAGTGAGGGGAGTGGAGTTGAAGAGTGGATGTGGGATGGAGTATTTGAAGATGATTGTGAGTGTGAGAGGTACTGTTTGAGCGCGGATTACTTGCGTGTGAGGATGAGTGAGTAGAGTGGAGTGTTAGGAGTATGTTTGTAGGATTACTAGAGTACTTGAAAGTGAGTGAGAAGACGGGAATGTGAGGAGTATGAGTGGAATTCGAATACTTGAGGGTGAGAGGTGTGAGAGGTTTCATAAATTGTGAGCATATGAATGGTAAAAATTCCCCTCCCCCTTCCTCCCCTCTCCCCCCCCCTTTCCTCCCCTTCCCCCACCCCCCCCCCCTTTTCCCCCACCCCTAGACCGCAAGAGGTGCAATTTTTTCATTAACCCCATTGCAGAGACCTCTAATATGACCTCATTTGTTTTTTGCTATTGTCATGAATGAAGTTTTCGGTTTTTTCTTAATAAAACTTGTTCTCTGGGTAAAGTGTTCACTGCGTAATCACTGGGGTCAGTTTTTGGGTCAAAGGGTACTCGTAAAAAAATTTTGGGGCAAAAGGGGTATTCGTTTTCAAAAATCCCTTTTGACAACCTTGTGCCGGGCCCTTGCCGTGGATGTAGGATGGAGATTCGAGGTGACAGGATCTCATGCGAATCGGCAAGATGGACGACTTCATTTTTTTGCTCCTTCAAACGCTCATAACTCCTCGTCCAGATACGTTCCGCAAATAAGGAGCACAGATACGGAATCAGCATTTCACGTCCAACAACACTATTAGAAATTGCAAAGGGCCATTTCCACTGACAATCCTTTCATTGTAAAACTGTTCATAATAAAGACAGACAAACGCTTTAAACAGCTTCGATGCAGAATTTCTCCCTCTTTCTAGCCGTGTTGTTCATGTTCCGATTCCTTTGATTGTCGTTCGAATAGATGTCAGAAACTCCAACCCATAATTTTTATCTGCCCTTTCTTTAGGCTATTTTTTCCAAATTCATTCCCAACTTTTAGGAGAGCTTCGATTACTGTTAGATAGAGTGAACAAAATACGGTAAAAGATGCTTTCTGGCATTCATAACTAGATTTTCAAAATTTCCATAATCATCTTTTCGATGCTATCAAATTCATACTAGGTCACCCAAGCTTCTTAGACAATAATCAACGAGCAACTAGGGTATCATTCGCTGCAGATTTTTCTCATCTTTCTGGCAAGTTTTTTACTCCATGATTTTTGAGGCCTTCCAGGCCTAAATTATCTAATTCTAGTTTCTAAGTGGCCCCAAGCTGTTAGCGGAAAATTCAAACTTCAATATTCCAAGGCGGTGATCAGTCACTTTGTCAAATCAGTGTTCAGTCATAAATGACTTTGGATGTGTCAAATTTCGAATTTATTGGTGTATGAGGCGCTTGTGTATCTCATGACTTAGCGAAAAACAAGACTTTTGAAAAAAAAATCCTTCAAGAATGCTCGCAAGCCAATCGAAGACAAAATCCGTTGTCTTGCAGCTTGTCTATTCTGTCCAAAAGTGATCAAAGCTAAAATGAAAATTCAAAGAATGCTAAAGTAAGGGTTGGTGAAAGCCATTGGTTAGAAATTTTGACAATTGTTCGAGCGACCATTGTAGGAATTCAAACAGGAATATCATTACTAGAA